TGTGTGTGTGTGTGTGTGTGTGTGTGTGTGTGTGTGTATTGACCATGGCTGAAGGTATTGATGGTATGCTTATTGAATTTGCAAATGATACAAAGCAGGGAAGTAAAGCTAACAAGTTGGAACTATATGACCTAGACAAGCTAGAACAGTCAGATGAACCCAATAAGATAAAATTGTTAACCTATACTTGAGTTCAAAAAATCAACCTCACCAGTACAAGATGGGGAAATCCTAGCTAGAAAAAAGTTCATCTGAAAAAGATCTGGGATTATTAGCAAAATGCAATCTCATTACAAATCAACAAAGCTAATGTGTTCTTGGGTGGCATGAAGAGGTGCCCAGGATCTAGATTAATGAGGGAAATTCTAGTGCTACTGTACCTTGCCCAGGACCACATTGAAAATATTGTGTTCAATTCTGGGTCCCACAGTTTGGAAAGGACGTTGATAAGCTAGAAAGCTTCCAGAATTGAATAACCAAGATAGTGGTGGCATGGACTTCATGCTCTTACTGAGGTTCAAGAATTTGAAGATGTTTAGTCTGGGGAAAGGAAGAGAAGGGGAAAAGGGGAGAAATAATAGCACCTTGAAATGTTTAAATGGCTGTTAAGTAGAAGAAGGATTCAACTTATTTTATTTTCTCCCAGACCCACTGGAAGTTGCAGAAAGAATTTAGGTTCAATGTAAAGGAAAACTTCCTAATAATTAGAGCTGTCCAAAAATGAAAGGGACTGCCTTTCACCAAGTCAAGACCAGATGAGCATTTGTATTGTAGAAGGGACTCCTGGTCAGGTACGGGCCTCTGGAGTCTCTTCCAATTGGATCAATTGCATTTTCTTTAAAATTATGATATTAAACACTTGAATAAAGTGATGTAGGTTTTTTTAAAATAATAAATCAATTGATTTACAGGAAAGCCGCCAGCCTCTTCCTCACAAAGAAATGAATCTAATCCATGAAGACTGCAAAGACATGGGGATTATACTTGGCAGAGGTGGACTTTTTAGTCAGGTATGAAAAAACCGGAGCTGTTCTCATTGAAATGTCCAAGTGTCCAACTATTTGAAATCTAACCAAACTTTCTAATGCTGTTTCCTTCTTGGCAGTGGGAGTGTGTACTAAATGACCTGCCCCTACGCTATATATTTTCATATTTCAAGGCCTAACAATACTGATTATCATGTCATATTGTCGGGTCAGTAGCCACTCCCCTCTGGCTAATAATGCTCAGGTGATTCACAAAATGGCAGTGAACTTTTCCTCCAAATCCTATGGATTTCTGGGTAAAAGTGCTTTTTTGAGGTAGGAAAACCTTCTGCCCCCCTCTACCAACAAATTCAAACAACCATCCAAAGAAACAGCTAAAATTATTATGAATAGGTTTATACTAAAATTATAATAGTGGACAAAAAATATTTAGTGACGATTAATCTAAATTACAGTCAAAACAATTATTGTTATTCTTACTCAAAATTTTGCTTATCCCTATTATCCTTATCCACTCATGCAATGTGGTCAGAGATAATACTTATAGTTACCTAGCATTTATTATGTAGCAAGTGGCTTCTGGAAAGTGTATTCTCATATAGCAAATGGTTTCCAGAAAAAGAAAAACAAAACTAGACTCCAGAGTTCAGAGGACCCATTGCCTGCCCTCCCCAGCAAGACTCCCTCCCTCAGATCTTTTCAATGCCACTGTCTCTGCTAGTCCAGTACTACATACACTAGTAAGGTATTCTGTATTCCCCAACTCCACCATGTCTAGGAACTTTAAAGGAGTCTACTATTCAGGGCAGAGACTTAAAGATGAGAAGGAACCATACCACTACCAATTCTTATCAAAATAATGACATTTTCCTGGAGAGATATTATTCTTTTCTTGTCCTAGTCATGACATTTTTACCAGCAAATCAAACAGTTCTAAAATCCTAACAAGACAATGACAATGTGCAAATATTATAGAAGTGAACTATTTATTGAAGATAACTAGTTATTGCCAGTGACCAATAGGAGCAGCATAATGGAAACAGTACTCCTAGGTCCCTTTTAATGCTTTTCCATTGAGCCACATTGATTTCAGCAACAATCTAGAGTTTACTCTTTTCTATTCTCTCTCCAGACATTCCGAATCGCACCCCCAATGTGCATCACTAAACAGGAAGTTGATTTTGCAGTGGAAGTACTTCATTCTGCATTGAGTAGACATATGGAAAAAAGGTCTAAAGGGAAGCTTTAAAGAAGAAGAAGATGATGATGATGATAGTGGTGGTGATGGTGATGATGATGATGATGATGATGATGACGACGATGATGATGACAACTACTTACAAACCCTCAAGACCTTTCCATTCATGTACAAGGATGAACTTGAGTAGCATTAGGATTCTCCAATCCACAGATCATGCACAAATCTGGGAAGGACAGTTAATCCATTAGAGGACAGGCTCAGGATCCAAAGCACTCTCAACCAGCTCAAACAATAGGCTAAACTGACAAGGAAACGTCTAACAGGAATAAATGGGAACACTTTGCTTTGAACTTTGATACTTGCAAGGATTCATGACTTCATGGGCATAAGTAGCATTCAGTAGCATTTAGCATGGTGCCTGACACATAGCAGGCATTTAATAATTGCTCATCTACTAATGACCTATGAAAGGATAAGACAGGGGCAGCTAGGTGGCACAGTGGATAGAGTACCGGCCCTAGAGTTAGGAGGACCTGAGTTCAAATCCAGCCTCACACACTTGACACTTACTATTTGTGTGAGCCTGGGCAAGTCACTTAACCCCATTGTCTAGCCAAAAAAAAAAAAAAAAAGGATAAGATAATGAAGACTTATCTTTTCAGTAGTTCAAGTGAAAAAGATTTATGGACTTTAAATTAGCAGCAAATTCCATAGTGTCAACAGCGTAATTTGGCAGCCAGAGAAGCTAATTCAATCATAGACTGCATTTTAATAGAAGCATGGAGTACTGAATCAGTTACGTAATGATACACCTACCACTCTCCACGTGGATCAGACCCTGCACATCTAGTTCTGGGTAGTACAACTTAAGAGAGACTGAAAAGCCATGTGTACAGAGAAGGGTGATCCAGATGATGATGGGACACACTCTACCCATTCTCAATTCGGCGCCTTCCCTCCCTCAGTCTGTTCCTGAACTGGAAGACTTAGCCCTCCACCCTACCTATTCAAATTCTACCCCTCAGTCTAGGTCAGTCCCAAGTTCTACCTTCTCCTCCAGCCTTCTGGACAACTTTCAAGGAACAATGATCTCTCTCTCCCCTGAGCCCCATAACACTTAACAGTCTTTGGAGCTTGGGGCAGCTAGGTGGTGCAGTGGATAGAGCACCAGCCCTGGAGTCAGGAGGATCTGAGTTCAAATCTGACCTCAGACACTTAACACTTACTAGCTGTGTGACCTTGGGCAAGTCACTTAACCCCATTGCCAAAACAAAACAAAAACAATCTTTGGAGCTGATTTTGGCACTTAAAATTTGGAGATTGAACAATCTTTCAAAATCATGATTTAAAATTTATGTGTCCTCTAAATATGAGTCAGCAAAAGGGATCAAGCTTACTTCAGTCAGCATGGAACTATAGTAATGAGAACCACCGTTTGTGTATTAAGATTAATAACTATAAGTGCACCGGCATTTTTGTTGTTGTCAGAAATGCAGGACAAAGACAGGAATGAGGAACAGAGGGCACCCAGTTCATGTGGCTCTTTTCAGTCTTGCTCCTAAGTTGATTTTCATGGCATGATGGGGAATTCCTTTACCAATAACTACAGCCAGAGCCTTTCTCTTTTTCGCTAAATGAAGTTTCGGTGTGATTTCAAGGGGACCTAGTTGAGTGATCCAGGGATCTGATAAATGTCTGGAGGAATTTTGAATGGCAACTCAGATAAAAGTTTGGGCTGAGACACACCAAGCTCCAGGAGGGGGAAAAAATGACTTTCAAAACAGACTTTTAAAATGTCTAAAGGCTTCTTGACCTAGCTAGATTCATGCAACTTCATGACAGGTTTGTATCACAAAAGAGGTAAGGATGCCTCTAGTAGCTAAAGACCTGCAAATGGTAGCAGCAATAATAGCAGAGAGAGCAAGAGGAAAGAAATCAGTTTTGATTGATTGATTGATAATAGCAGAAAGCAGTAGAAGAGAAAGAACCGCATCAGAGGACTCCAGCTCAGCAGAGAAAGTACCACAACCAATGACATCACCAAAGCCTCTACATCAAGGGTGCTGTGGATTCATGAACTATATCACAATTTTTGAAATATATTTTGATATTTTTTGTTTCAATATCATTGGTTTCCTTTGCAATTCTATGCATTTTGTTGTACACATTTAAAACATTATTTGAGAAGGGATCCATAAGTTTTGCCAGGCCACCAAAGGGGTCTATAATGCCAGAAAAAAATAAAATAAGAACCCCTGCTCTAGGCATGATTTGCCCCAGAAATACATGTGCTCCACTGTCTATGTTCCCTTGTCACACACATTCCATGAATATATCGTGTCCACCACTAGTAATGTGGCAACTTATGAGAGAGTATACCCTTACTCTTTCTTGTTGCTTATCTTTCTGTGCTTAATTAAATGTATTCTGCTTTGAACTAATGTGTACTCGCTCTTCCCATAACCTCGACTTAAATTTTAAAATCACCAAGAAGTCACCTTCTTACCAGATCCTTCTTATTTCCTTTCTGAAAATCAAACTAATGAATGCCAAGCTATCAGAGTGAAAATCAAACCTTAAATTGGGTAACTGTTTTCATTCAAGGAGTGTAATGAGAGTTTCAATGGGTTTTAAATACAACATTGAAATATTGTCCTTACAAAGCCAATGGACAGCAAACTAGTGGATTTGTAATAATGTTTTGACACTAAACCTGTTATGTTATAATCATTGCAACAATGACAACAATAAATGTGATTATGACTTATTATTTGTTCCTTGAAAGAAAAATATTGGAGGGAAGGAGGTGAGAAAGGAAAAGGAAGAAATAAGGTCATTAAGAAGGGACTAATTTTTTAACAGTCTGTCCTGTAGAGACCATGGGACATTTGCCTTGATCTCTAGAAAGACGCCTGTGATGCAGAGCTGTAGAATGCATAAGCAAAAGTTCCCTTTCCACAGCAGCACTTCCTGTTTCCCCATATCCTTCCAAGGCAGCTCTCTCCCTCTACTGTCCCTAACTGACCCTTCCCTATATTTCCATTGTAACTTCTGGGACCCCTATTCTATTTTTAACAAACTGCCCTTCACATTAGAGTTGTGCTTTCCTCCTGAAAATTAGTTTGTATGTAGTGTATTTAATAGCAATGTAAGACTGTGAGAGTTGGACTATAAGGAAAGTTGAGCACCATAGAATTGATGCTTTCAAATTATGGCTCTGGAGAAGACTCTCGAGTCCCTTGAACAGCAAGAAGATCAAATCAGTCAATACTTATTAATTCACTGGAAGGTCAAACACTGAAGCTGAAGCTTAAATACTTTGGCCACATAATGAGAAGACTGGACTCATTAGAAAAGACCCTGATGTTGGGAAAGATTGAAGGCAAAGGAAAAGGGGGTGGCAAAGGATGAGATAGGTAGATAATGTCATGGAAATAATGAAAACGAATCTGGACAGACTTCAAGAGATGGTGGAGGTTGGGGCAGCTAAGTGGCACAGTGGATAGAGCACCGGCCCTGGAGTCAGGAGGACCTGAGTTCAAATCCGGCCTCAGACAGGTAAAACTTCCTAGCTGTGTGACTCTGAGCAAGTCACTGAACCCCAACTGCCTCACTAAAAACAAAAACAAAAAAAACAAGAGATGATGGAGGACAGAAGGACCTGGAGTATGGTCCATGGGGTCATGAAGAGTCAGGCATGACTAAACAACTGAATAATAACAACATTTACTCATATAGGAACATATGGTCCTCACACCAATACAATGTAAGCTCTTTAAGAGCAGGGGCTGTTTCATTTAGTTTTGTACATCCTAACACCTAGTACAGTGCCTGGAACACGTTGAATCATTGAATTGAATCAAATGGCACTTCCAAACTTAAAAGTTCCCACAGAATTCTGAAGATGTCAGAATAAAAAAAAAAAAGCCTTCCCTAATTTTCCACCTGGCCCTGAGATACTTCTACAGATGTCCCTGAGGCAAACAGCACTAAAAATTTATTCTTTTTCTGTATATGAGTTAATAGATGGCTTTTCTCTCACCCAATGTACTGGAGAATTAGTGGGAAATAAAGGAGATTAGATCAGAATTTCTCCAGATCCTGTAAAGAGTTAACGCCCATTTGTGTATGAAAGGAGTCTGAGAATAGTTCTATTGCCAGATTATTTTCTCTGGTTGTTTACTTTTTGATGGCGTCTTTAGTAAATGCTTCGCTGTTGACTTTATGGTCCCTTCCTATTCCATAAATAGAAGACTCATTGAAATGGAAACTTAAGATATTATTTGCATAATAAAATACTTTATATTGAACCAGTTGTATCAAGAAAGTTCCTGAGTTGAGTATGGTTCTACGTTTGAGTTGAGTATTTATGGGATTTGGTCTGAGGTGTTCCAGGTTCTTATAAAGGGTTTGTGGGTATTGTCAAGTCAATGCAATATCTGCATTGGAAGGACCTTTTGGGAATTTTTCCTCCACAAATTCTAGATCGCAATTTGACAGCAATTTTTCCTGCACTAGCTTTAAGGGACAAGTTGATTTGAAGAACCTGTATATAATTGTTTTGAATTGTCACTATACACCTTGCTGAGATGACACCACTGAACTGACATAATACATTATATATACATGTACTAGGGTGAATAGGCAGAATGCTATTGCTATTAGAGAATTAATCTTGGGATTAGACAACTAGCATAGGTATTAGAAAATTTTTCTGGGTCCTTCCCACTGAACTCACAAGTCACCATTCATCAATGACCATGAGGCCTAATGATGTAGTACAGAGGCATCAAACATGCAGCCTGTAAAACTCTCAAGTGAGGCCAAAACCAGATTAAAATATAATTTGGAAATACTTAACAAAATAAATTGAAATACAATAGAATATTGATAATGTTGATATATGGTTTTCTAAGTCAATGTATAGGGCAGCTAGGTGGCACAGTGGATAGAGAGGTGGGCCTGGAGTCAGGAGGACTCATCTTCCTGAGTTCAAATCCAGCCTCAGACACTGACTAGCTGTGTGACCGTAGGCAAGTCACTTAACCCTGTTGGCCTCAGTTTCCTCATCCATAAAATGTGCTGGAGAAGGAAACAGCAAACCACTCCAGTATCTTTGCCAAGAAAACCCCAAATGGGGTCACCAAGAGTTAGACACAAATGAAAAACGACTAAACAACAACAAGAAGTCAATATTCAGCCTGTAGGGTCCTTATGTACAGTTTAGTGAACTCTTTTATTTGAGTTGGATATCTCTACTATAGAGTATCCTCCCATGCTGGGCAGGGGATCTCAGAAGACAAACTATATTCCAGTTATTTTATAATTGATCCTTAAAGCATATGCCCCTCCAACTTATTCAGGGCCTCAGCCCCTGTGGCCTCAGTGAAAAGGACACCTCATCTTTGGGTTATTTCATGGTCTTCAGTTCACTAGAAAAGTTGCCTATGGAACCGAGGGAATGAGCACTTTGGCCCAGAAATGGCCAGACCCAGAAAGCACTTCTTTTATTTCAGTATTGACTGAGACTGACTCTAGGCTGTTTAATATT